TTCTTGTGCCAAGTAACATATAATAATAACAACATGTTCTTGCTTGTAATTTTGCTGACTGGAGATGCCCTGGCTCTAAGGACATGGTTCAAAGCCCCTGTCCTGTGCAATTTCATAATATTAGTGAATAGGAATAATCAGTTCATTAAGAATGCCACAGTAGACTATCTTGTTAACATTTATGCTTAGTGTGGACTATACATAAATATCATTGTGGGTTTGGGATTTCTGCAGTAAGAGAATGGTGATATCATTCAGCTTTGCCCCCTGTTTAAGAAAAATCTGACTCTATGATGGTGTTGCACACTATCTCGAGAAGATGTGACTCTGCAGAGGGTGGACTGACTCTGGGTTGATCTGTGCTTAACCTCCAGTGGTAGAAAGGAGTTAGAAACTTCAGTGAAATGGTGTAGTTACCAGCCATGTGTTTGTCTGACCTCACCCGAGATGGTTTTCAGTCATTCAGTTCAAAATCTCCAGGTGATGTCTTTAATGTTCCCTTTCCTCTCATTCAATCCCCGCTTCCTCCAGCATGTAAGATGGTGTTGAGAAAGGGATTCAGCTTTTCATTTCTGTTAAGTCACGTCTTTGACATTTCCAGGCTAGAGCTAATGCAGCAGACTGTCCTAGGAAATCAATGGGAAATTCCAATCTCAAGAAATTTGTCTTTGTGCGAAATAAATTGAGCTGTTTCATCAGTAACTCAGGATTCAGGTCTGCGTTTGAATCCTAAAGCAGCTGAGCTGGTTCCTTTTTCAGATGTACGAATGATGTTACCAATTTCGCAAGAAAGGCAGTGCAGGATGATTGCACTCATCTTTAGTAACCCTGCATGGGACTGGATCCAGTAGCTTGCTGAAGGCACCTTTCAGCTCAGCTGGGGTGCTCTCAGTACCAGGACTTGAGCCTTCCAAGTTCAGAGCTGAGCTGCTTCAGCAAATTCTTGGGTTTATGCCTGGCACTTTGCTTGCTGTACCTGCGCCAGTGTGGTGCCACTGTGTTATTTCAATGTTCTGCATTACAGGGCTTAAATGCTAAGACAGTATGGACTGTGCTGGCTCATATTGTCAGGAGTTGAAGGAGAGATTGTGGATCTGTTACTTTCAATTTAGAGCGTAGTTGCAGTATTACAACTTCACCACGGGAAGCAAAAGTATTGGTTCTGGAGGTATTGTTCACAAGCTTTGTTGAACTGGCTCAGCAGGGCTAGGATTAAGTCCAGGGTATATATGGTGGAGTGTGGTGGGGAAAAAAGTCACGATGTCTGGCTGGAAGGAATCCTACAATGTGTCTTCTGGGATACCAGAGTAGCATGTACTATGGGTTAAATTGACCGAATGTGCTTTTTGATGGACGGATTGAGGAGGTTGTTTCTAGATACTGAAATCAGTAGATGAGGTGAATTTCCAGAGGAATTTAGAAAATTTATATTTGAGTTAAATTTCAAGGATTAAGCAAAATTAGGATGTTTGTTTATATTGTTGTGTCTTAAAGCCACAACACTAAGTAAAAATGAAAGCAGAACCTTTCTTCTGTAGTTCTGAAAATTTGATGTAAATTTTATGATAATATATGCTGGGTTCCCTTTGTCCTAGGACTAGTTGTATGTAGTCAAGCTTATTGTACATATGAATACAATTTACACATTTTGTGCTGTTTGCAAATAACTTATTTTCTACTCACAGATGTATGTAAAATCAGGCAGGGAGATAAGTGGCATTATATAGCAAAAACAATAGTCATGTTTGTGTTAGCCTATAGACAGCAGGACCCTGTGATACTTGGAATAATGAAAGCACAGTTTATAAAAATAGATGTGGAGGAAAATATAGCTGGTTTAGAATTCTGCTGCCTTCTGTGAAAAGCTCCTCTTGTTTTCTAGATGAGAAAATGATCTGGGCTAAAGAAAAGTACTTTTGCATTATTTTGCCATGCTGTTATTGCCCAGTAGATCATTTGCTATTACTATGTACTGCTACAGAAATAATGAAAAACATCCTGCAAATAATAATAGTTTGAGTCCTTAACCTTTATAAGGCTAAATATAAAAGCTCACTAAAGCCTGTTCACTCACTTGTCTGTAGCTTTGGTACTAATGTTGTAGTTAGATGTTTCTTTTCTTGTAAGAAGAGTGCATCATTTGACTTTATTTATAGAGTCTGTGATGGTTTTGGGGAGTGGGTGTAGGGGAGGAGGAACATTCTTACATCACTGCATCACTATGATGCAGAATTTGTAAAACAGCTTTTGAATGCCTGTTCCTGAATTGGTATCAGATGATCAGGAGTTACATGTTAGCATAAACTGTTTTGAGTAGTGTTTGTGTGGATTCCTTTGGGATCAGTTGCATTATGCTGTTAAATTATATTGAACTGTGATGATAAGTTTTGCATCGAGGTTTTGTTGTTTCTTTTTAAAATAAAAACCAAGATATTTTTTGATGGCTGTTAGTAAGTTTGCTGCCACACTTTTGGGACCTTATGCGTTTAAGTGTGCATCTTGGTATTTTAGAATCTACTGTAAAATATTAATATTTTACAGAATAATGGCATTAATGGAAGAAAATGACAGTTCCCACATAGGGAGCTTTTTAAAATCTGTCTTATGGTGGCTTCACCTCCAGTTTTCCTTGTACTTCATGAAGCTTACTAGGTAGCCTGTGTCTCCAACACATCCTGATTTTCTCCAACGCATTTAATCCTGACTTGACATGGACAGTGTTAATTGTTACTGACATTAGAAAGTTACTGGGTCTTTAGAATTTGTACTCTTTGTTCATTCACGTTGGTGTAATGACCATGATTATAAGTCCCTGCAGTCAGTACTCTGGCTCTGGTTCTCCCTGAACTGTTAGCTTAACCTCTATTTTAAAGTAAGTCTCCATTTGGAAACAGAGAAGGTTCCCATATGTACCAGGTGATCCTTTGGAGTGAAGTTGCTCTTCGCTGATTAAAGGGAATGACTTGAAATATTATTTAATCTTATTGGAGAGTTACAGTTTATTTCTAATTAGTAACCAAAATAGCAGTTGTACTTCAATAAATTTCCATGCCTGCTGTCTCCTCTGAAAGAGCTGGTATGTCCCTGTTGACATGGATTGACCCACTTCGATCACTGTCTGTAGGAAATACTAAACTATGTATTATATAGTTATGTACTTTATTATCAGGCTGGTATACAGGATGGTCTAGGATGGGACAAGTTGTGTTTAGTCCCATTGTGCTGGCATGTGAGTAACTTCTTAAAGGTGTCCTTAGTGTCTAAAAGGCAAGGCCTAATAATTACATTTAGGGAAGTCACCCAGGATTATATTTGCATGTAGTGCTTTCGGTGCCATACCCCTGCAGAAGTATGGAGAAAGCCTTAACTATTCAAGTCAGCCAGCAAAACGGTGAGGGCTGAGGTGGAACAGTCATGGTTCCCACAGCATATTCTGCTCTGTCGTGCATGTAGCTCTTATTAATGCAAATATTCTGTAGTTAGGGATGTGGCTACTCTTACGAACCCTTTAACAGCTAATTAGGGTGTGCTTTGGAAGTTGGGGAGGTCGTGTTTCATAATCCTGGGTTTCCTGATTTCTTAGAAGGGTAGGATCTAGTGACTTAAACGCTTAGGAATTTGGGAATACCACAATCTATACAGGACAAACAGCTGTTACGTTTCCTAGAGTGAGGGAGTACGAGTCTCTGACATGATCCTCCCTAATTAAATTGCTTGGCACTGGGAGGGGAAGATGCCCTTCATTTTATTGAGTTCCAGCCTACTGCAAAAACAAGGTGAAGTTAAACCTTCTGTACAAATGGAGATGCTAATCCATGCCAATGGCACTGAAGTTGCACAGAAACTTTCCTGGGGATGAGTATGGGTATGTGTCTGTGGATAGGTGTGTGTGTTAGACTTACTCTTCTGCCACAGCAACCCTTAATCAAAGGCAGTTTAAAGAATTTTGATCAAAAATCTAGGAGTCGCATGTTTTGCATCCTTTAAAACACGTGGATTTAAATTCCTAGGCACCAACATACTCCCTTGGGTTCCTAATTTTAGAGAGCTGTTTCTGTTATTCCTTTGAAATGATAGATTTCTTTATTGATGTATGGCTCACCTTAGTTGTGTATGAGGATTACGTTTTGCCTTTTCCCCCAGCAGTGGTACCTCACTCCTCTTCCTAAGCTCATGTTAACCGTGTTCACCTTTGGTGCTGACATGGGAGCTGTAGGCATGCATCCCTTCACTGAAGCTGTTTATGTTCTGTAGTTTGGGAAATTTTTTTTTTTTGCTTTGTGCTGTGCAGTTTTTGTGCCGGTTCTAATTTGCCATGACGCGGTCAGTGCTGTTTCCTTCCGGCTGCTTGCGAGCCTGTGGTAGAGATAAGGCTACACTCACAGCTCGTTTTTAACATGAAGCTGGAGATCTGCTTCATGGAGGAACTCGGGGACTCTCTGGATTGTACAAGGAATTTGTGTAGTGGTTTCATCATTTTGACACTGGGAGGCAAGATCTAGAGCATTTTACTTGCAAAATAACAACCTTGCTAAATTTGAACTGTGTGTGAAGAAGAAAGATGATATACTTGAGATATCCTACAGCTGAGTAGGTCAGTCTGGGGTTTGTGTTTTTACTCTGAATATCCTGTAAAGATGAGAGTTACTAATGAATGTGAAAACTGCATATATAAATGGAATGAAAATAGGGATTTTCTTCTTGTTAACTCTTGTAAATTTTTCTTAGTCTGTTGCTTATAATATAAAACACTATGAAACTGCTGTCTTACTTCCTGAAACAGTTTTGTTTGAGGAATGAAAATTTGTTTCAGGGAATGAAAAATTCACATACTTTAATCAGTAGAAGTAATACCTTTTGAAGACACACAAGTATCTGACTTCCTTGGGCTTAGATAGAGCAGTTATAATTCACAGCAAGTTTTATCATGGCTGCTACTATTTCACATAGCTAAAGTAATCATTTTTAATGATAATTTTTTTTATTTTTCCCTCCACAGTGATAAAGGCTGTTGAGGTGGGAAAAACAACTCAGGAAAGGATTTGCCTTGGTTTGTTCCCTTTGAGAAGAGAAGACCCTGGCAACACCGATGATCTAAGAAATACCAACACTCATACTCAGTTCATTTTGTGATCCTGCCTTTCTGCCCAGCTGGATCTCGGTGACACTCTCCATTCTTTTGCCTTCAAGAACATTTTTCTTTGTATGTGGAGCTGAGACCTGGGAATGCGTTATTATGGCAGCAGTTGTACAGCAGAATGAGCTTGTGTTTGAATTTGCCAGCAACGTCATGGAGGATGAGCAGCAGGTATGGGAAACCTTATTTGTACAAGTTGGTACTAAGAGTAGTATGATACTCAAGGAAAAAATGTGGGGTAAAGCACAAAAAGGAAACATTGAGCTCATTATTGTTGCAGCAGATCTTTGTGCTGTTTTGAAAGCTTCTTGCTGCTTCCTGTAACTTGCATCGACAGAACAGAAATGGGTTGAAATGCTGTAACTTCTGCAGTATTGCAGAGACATCCTCCTCCAGAAATGTTTTTCCTGTTTTGCTGATTTGTGCCAGTAGAGTCCATGCATGTGTGATCTAGAATTCCCCAAATTCTGGTATTTTATAGTACCTTCAACTTTTCTAGTGTGGTAGGATAAAATTCTGAATAAAAGTAGTGGTCACACTACAGATGACTGGAAGGGGCAGTAGGTACTCGCTGTCACTTAGAGATTGGTTTCTAAATTGTGTTGCTGTATGCTGGCTATGCAGAAATAAGCTTGAATGTAAGTTAAGTTGGTTTCTTTCATACTGCAGGGAAAATGTCTGTTTCTGTTGGAAGAGGCTCTCAGTAAGATGTCGATCAACCACATCTTGCGAGTCTTGAACCTTCAGTGAAAGATTCCTATTGTAAAAATCAAGCAGCTCCTCCTAAAGTGGTGATTACAGTAGATTTTGTGTTTATTACCAAGAAATCTGGTGTCTGAGTACTGTGGAGAGACAGTTCTTAAAAGGCTGAGAAGTGCCATGACAAGCTGTTTCTCTTTTTGTTAATGTGGAAAGCATTTGTTCTCCTCTCTTTATAAAAATACTTCAGGCTTTATCATCTTGTCTCTGGTTTTCTGCATGGCCTGGTATCTGGCTGGTTCAGTGGCCTGTTTCTGCTGTCAGAGTCATGCGATCATTTCAATGAACTGAGTGTTGTCTGTCTAAAGTGCTAACTCAGTTTTGGGTGGAATTAGTAATGCAACTTCCTTCCCTGTATTTTTCCAGAGCTTGTGGTAGCCTGGGGATTTAGATATGGGAATTGCACAAGCATAGTCGAAAATGAGCCTTACTTATTACCACTGTTGTTCATTGTTGGCTTGACTTTACAAGCCAATGGGAGAGGGGAGAATTGAAATGGGGAGGGCTGCTTCAGTGTGTTTTCTGGAAGGGCTTGTGCAAGCAAACATGATTTTGTTCAGTTTAGCCATGTGGTCTGCTGCTTGCAAGTTCTTCAGATGCTCACCTGAAAAGCTTTAAAAATAATAAAGAGCACTCAACAGGACAGTAAAATATAAAGTAAAAAGAGCTTTCTCCAGCTTCAGATCAAACTTAATCGTGACATTTATCTTATAACCCTACTAGATTGTGCTCCAGATGAAGCCTAAGGAAAGAAGGCGTTCTGTAACATACCCTAAAGGTGATGAAATCAAAGATGCAAAAGGCCAAAGAGATTAAGTAGCATAAAGTCCATTGCAGCAAACAGTCAGATGCAAACTCCTCTTAAATCAGTGGGTCAACTTAGTTCAGATTTCAAGGATGCAAGTTGCTAGCAAGCTGGCTGCATAAAGGTAGATCTGAAATTCTCAGTTGTAGAAGAGGAGTCTGGCAAGGGTAAAGGTCTGGGGAGCTGGAGCACAGTTTAGTTCAGACAAGGATTTACAGTACAACATTAGGCCAAAAAAGCTGCTAATTGTTTATATTTGATTGATCTGCTTTTCTACCACATAGGAGCTATTACTACTCCTAAAGTTTTTAAATTCTGAATAGATTAGTTGTATTTAGGGATAGATAACACAATTTATGTACTTTACAGAAATTTTAGCTCTGGAAGTGCTGTGTGTTGGGCAAAAGCATGTTTTTTGAGCTTCATCAGTATACCAAAGGTGACATTTCTACATGGGTGTCATTAACTGGTCTTTGGGTAATAGTTTTTGCGATGCCTCCACAAGCTAAAGATGGAAGAATTTTGATACTTTTTGTCAAAGCTTTGCCTGGAGCCCTGTTGTGCCAACATGTAGCAGCTGTGGAGTGAGGTTTGGGGTCTAAATAGCAGCTATGCTCTGTATTTCAGGGAAGTCATAATTCATGGCTATTTTGTTTATTTTTTTTAAAGTCTTGGTTAAACAACTGTAAATTATGAACGGTCCATTTGCAAATGTAAGCATTCAGCCAGTGGGAGGGGTTCAGTCACATGGACCTGTGTGAATGGGAAAGGCTTGCTCTTATCAACTTGATTCTTTGCAGTTTAGAAAAGAATGATTTCTTTTGGTTTTGGTTTTTTTTTCCTTGGAGGATTCATTTATCATATAATAAATGTAAGGTTAGGAGAAAATGAGGTGAAAATATCCTCATAATTTTGAGAAGAGAACAAGTGACTTGCACTACAGCTACTGATCACCTGCCTGGCTTCTGCTGCATGTCAGATACCTGGTTAAAATAGAGAGTTCACTTCTTTTTTTTCTCCTTTGTGTTGGTTTTTTTCCGTTGTTGTTTTTTTTTGGATTTTTTTTTTCCTTGAGAAAGTGAGACTGCACAACTAATACTGGTCAGGAGCTTCTATAGGCTCTGGCTGAGCCAGTGCTGCTGCCTAAACCTGCTTCGCTTCCTGTCTGCAGCTTCTCTCAGTATCTCTTCATGTAGTCTTTTGTGGTCTTACAGTTAATGTGATATTTGATCAGGACATTCTTAATTTAAAAAGCTGAAAAAAGGCAGCCACAGTGGCCAGACCCGTAGTAGGAAGTTTTAAATGGTGCCAGGGACAGGCTGAGTCATTACAAATATTGCATCGCTAACACGGTTCCCAGCATGACTAGTCTGTGCCAGGAGGTGCTCTCAAGTGGCTCTAATGCATGTAGTGACCTGTGCCTGAAGACTCCTGTATCTCTGAGGGATGTTTCTCTCCTCCCTTCTTCTGGGGAAGAGAGGTCCTAGCCATTAGGTTGGGCCATGACTTCTGCATCATCTTCTCATGCCTCGGTTTGCTCTTCCACATTCCCTGATGTCGCCATGGGCTTTCTGAAACATGAGTCACCTGGTCAAGACCAAGGTCTACATCTTTTTCACTATTCCCAGCTACTGCAAAAGGTTCCCCCTCTTAGCCACTTGCAGTTTTATGAAGGAAAACTCTGAAATCTGTAATGAGGTGGTCTCCCCAGGAAAGCAAGCCGCCTGCAGCATCCCTCTGTGGAACTTGGTCATTTCTCTGCTGCTGGCCATGGGAACACCTCTAAAGTCAAGAGGCTGCCTCTGCCTCTTCTTCAGCAAGAGAAAGCCGAAGGCCATTTTTTAGTTACTAGGTCACTCTGCATAGTTTTGTTTAGTTTTTGTTGTTGTTCTTTGAAAAATAAGTGGCCATCTGTATTGCGAGTCTGAATTCTGTTGTTTGGTTAAAAAGCCAGGTTTTTCTCCCCTGAGATTTCCTTCTTCTTCCCCCCCCCCCCCAATGTAGCTTTTCCCTTCTATCTGTTGCATGCATTTCTTTACACGCATCACTCACTTTCACAAAATTTATTCCATACCAGCTAGAAGCTAGTCACCACATTCCTGGGACAAGTTATCTTCCTTAGAAGGCTTGTAGTGTGAGAAGACAATACCTCCAAAGCAGAAGAAATCCCCTTCCTTATTTTCCATTTCCACAAGCAGGATGGTGTTTTGACCTTCTGTCAGTTGGTGACAGCTGATGAGACAATTCTCAGAGGAAAAAAAGAAACACCTTGTCAGCATGTCGAACACACTACAAGAATCTGAGAGCAGGAAGGAAGATTGCTCCCTTTGACCCTTGGAGGAGAATAGGGTTCAGTTTCCAGGGTAATAGAGCATGGCCAATGCTTTCAGGGATCTGCTCATGGGACTTGCCATGGACTTGAGCATCTGTATGTAGCCTTGCACTCCTCTGAAATTTTAAGAGTTGGTCTACAGGCCTGGTTTGTAGATAAACTATAGTGAGGAATTTTGAGTCTTAAGATTCAGGAAGCTTTCAGCAGTAGCTCAACTGCTTTGTGTCCAGCAGACATGGGAGATGGGGTGAAGCCAAGTCAAAGCTTTGATGGAGCTAGGGTGTCATGTTTTAACTGTATTTTGCATGAGAAAGATTAAGCAACAGGAGTAGGAACAAAACACACAAATTGTTCATCTACATATCTCTATCAATTTCTTGAAAATCATTGTTGACACTTTCATTTGGGACTTTTCTACACTTTGGGATTCTTTGCACTCTTTATTAGTGTACATAGAACTACCTTTGTATTAGAAATAAATTTTTTGTGATCTTGCTATTAGGTAATTTAATTTGTCTTAATTGAATCGCTATCTTCTAGTTCTTAATGTTTTCCGTGTGTAATTCTCATTAACACTAGCTTCAAAGGGAGCCATAGTAAACATGGGCCCTTTTGCAGTTCCAAATGTGTACGAAGTTATTTTTGTGTCTTACAACAACAGAGCTGCAGGAAGCTTTAGCTTGGCCCTCAGTTGGGATTCAGACGCTCTCAGTGAAATCAAGGACATTAGAGAAGTACCGAGGTGGGACTGTACCTCTCAGTGGTCATATGTACATCAGTGTACATGAGTAATAGCTTTAAAAACTGCATGAAACGCTTGTTAATGAAATCATAACCAATTGCAAATATTGGATAAAAAAGTGATGACCACTTCCACTAAAATGCTTTTCGGATGAGATTTGTTTGCAGTTTTGTGAATGCTTTTCTCGTTAAGAGCAGATTTTAATTTGCTCCAGCATTTCCTTTTCACAACCATGGGAGGAAAGAAACTTCATATATTGTACTACCATAAGGTATGAGTTGGGAGCAGATGTAACAATAGTTTTGAAATGAAAGGCCACAAGAAGTGATATTTACTCTGATTCTTTCCATTCAAAACTGTGATTAATTTAAAGAAAACCACAATTAAAGTGTCTTACCACGAGTGAATGTTTTTCTGTTTGTCTCCAGTCTTTCGGAAGTGTGGTGTGTCAGCAAGCTCCTGGGATGGTCGGGCACTGAGTTCACTGGAGAGATATTCCCTGCCGTGGGGATTTCTCTGCCTGCAGACAGTCACAGTGACCATGTGGGAGTAAATGTGTCATGGTTGTTTTTAGACATGGTCAAAATACAGTTTAATCTTGCAGAGCAGATCGGATCTGATCACATGAATCAAACCAAGTGCTGCTGAAGTGTGTGAAGAAGCACTGTTCGGTACCACAGGAAACGTCTCTGGCAGGGGTGAGGTGTGTGTAAGAAACACATGGATGTTTGGGCTTCTGTAGTTAGGTTTCATAGCAAAGTGACAAGTAGGGTGTCAGATAAATAGGGCTTTGAGAAAGCGAGCTGAAAACATGTGACAATCAGATGGTTTTATCTGTGTTTCATTTATTATCCTGGAACAGTTTTTTACAACTTGTCCTCTCATAGACCAAGTCAGTGGTGTGAGCATCAATCATTAGAGAAGGACAGTGCTTAACTAGAGTAATTTTTTTGTCCAGAAGAAGCTAATGTAAGGCTTGTCTGGAGCACAGGCAACTCAGTATGTGGCTGCAGACACTGCAGCTGTGGAGCTGGTGCCGTGGTGGAAGCAGGGAGAAGGGAGCACTGTGCTTCTAAGGCATGGTGGGGAGGAAGCTGCCATTTGCTGATGGGTGTGTGGGAGACACATCAGAACACACCAATGCCTCCATCCTTTTATAGTCAACGGAGAGAAATAGGTGTTTTTAGGGCATGACTCATCCTATCATAGCACAGGAGCCTAAAACTGGGCGGGGAAATTGTGCCCTAGAAAGACCATTTCTCTCTGTTGGCTCTGACAGAAAACTGGGGCTCCTAGCTCAAGTCGTGGACGTCAGCTGTGTGAAGTTAGATGAGGTGAACCTCGCCCTTAGTGTCTATAAACTTAGAGCAGGATGAGAACACTGAAGTCTTCTTGCTTGCATCTTCCCTACCTAAAATCCTTAGTTTTTACCTGCTCTCTGCAAGGGACCTTTAAGAAATGTTTGTTTCGACATTACCTAGCCTTGATGGCTTGTTGTGGGGCAAAGGTGTGGCTGATTGCCTCAAAGCTTGCTGAGCCACAGGATGTCTTCAGCCATGGAGATCCTCCAGCTGCTGAGATAAGGAGGTGCCACTGTCCACCACCTACACCCTCCAGCTGCTGAGTCTGCCAGATAATGATCGACATCCCCTCCAGCTGCCAAGACCAGGAGGCACCATTGGCCATGACTGGCATCACTTCCAGCAGCCAAGATCAGGAGGCTGGGAATTGCTCAGCTGCAGGGAAACTGACCTATCGGTGCCCTGACAGAGCCCTAGGAAAAAGGACCTGCATCCAGAGCATGTATCACACACCCACCACTTAAGAAAAGATGACTATGGATCATCAGAATGCTGCTGGGTCTAAGGGGATGGCTATCCCTCTTCTACATGACTATGGATCATCTAGATCTGTGGTGGTGACTATCTCTGCTTTGGCATACCAAATCTTGCTTACTTCTAACTATCCCCCTTTCCTGTTTCTAGCTTTCCTATTGCCCCTTCTCTCGCCCTTGTGTGACCAGTAATAAAGTCTCACTCCCTAACGGTATTTTGACCTCATTTGCGTTTTAATTCACATTGAGGGAATCAAGTGAACACTCCTGAGTCTGGTTGGACTGGGACACTCTCTAAAATACTGAACAGGTACTTGCAAAACTTGTACTCTTCTTGCTTGCAGGTGATAGGATCCTGAGTGGACACCTGCATATAATCCTTTTTTAGTTTTTCTTTAAATGAAGTTACATGTGGGTGTGCAGATATGTGTAACTTAGATCCCAAAAGTTAGGTACTGTGGCATATTACTGAAATTGAGGTGTTTAAACTGGTTTTAGAACATGAATTATATCTCAGTAATGAGTCAGTAATGGACCATCTTCTTTGTAGTTTATGGAGCATATTGTTGAAAAGAAAACTTTTAAAATTTTTCTTCTCTTTTTACAGTACTTCCTCCTGTTTTTAATTGATGTGGCTTTTATTTAATCTGTTTGTTTATTCTTGCCTGGAGGCAAATAGGATCAAGGGGTCTGTAAACAAATAGGATGCACAATGTGAGCGTGACTCTTTCTGAGGAACAGCAGGGACCTCTTGGCCACCAGTGATTGCTGGTTTCCAGCTCTGGCATGATGCAGCATTGGTTAGAGGCTGACACAAAGATGTGGGGTAGAAGCTGTCCCATTGCTTGACTCAATATACACCTATCATCTGCCAACATGATTGCACAAGAGGGCTTTAACTGATCTGCACTTTGTTCATTTTTATTGATCTCTTCTGAAGCTTCTGTTTGATAGAGTAGAAGGTTATTTAGTGGTGGGTTTTTTGGTTGGTTGTGGGTTTGTTTGTTTGTTTTGTTGAGGCTTTTTTGTTTAGCAGACTGTCCATGATAGAAGCCCACTAATATACTAGATTCCTAGTTCTTCCTTTTTTCCTGGCTGCCCTTTACCACAGTTGTTGCTGACATGTTTTATGAAACACAGAGCAATTTAAAGTGGTAATTACTACCTTTTAAAACCTCTAATATCACTTTCTACTTGCAGTACTTACGGTCCAGACTCTTCCTTAGGGGATGCTCACTCCCATAGCCATTGTCTGTGTTGAGGCAATAGCTCCCATATTATTTTCCATCGCCGATGATATGTGTGGTGGCAAGAGTGAAACATAAGCAATCCCTGAGCAAGATCATAAGCATACAGTTGGGTTTTTCCTTGTGTGGTTAAATAAAACTACTTTATCTTCTTTCCAGTACCTGAAGGGAGACTCCAAGAAAGATGGAGAGAGACTTTTTACAAGAGCATGTAGTGACAGGACAAGGGGGAATGGTTTTAAATGGAAAGAGT